CCCAACTCTACAAAGTTTTCCAAATTGTTATACAGTTCTAGACTTCATCTATGTCCGTTGTTGCTGCAGTTATTAGGATGGATGCGGCATAAATTTCGGCCACCTAGCACGGAGCCGTTCAAAGATTTCACAATCGGTAACATAACAAACTCACTCCATAACGCTTTTCTTAAACAATCACAACATGTTGTCAGTTCAAAAATCATCACATAATTAACAGTTAAAGTGAAGAACTTATCCTCTAATTGTCTAGCATGGAAATTATACACTAGAAAAGAGTAGTACTGACTAAGTTTGATAATAATGTGAGAATTACAGGTATTTTCTAGGTGATTCCCAACCTCAAGCAAAAAATTAAAATAGGCAGTTCGATGAATGTAATATAGGTGCTGACAGCCATGTAGTTATTGGTCAAAACAATTTAACCTTCATAATTATACAAAATTTGCATGAGCCCACATATTCTTAAGTGGTAACCGGACCATCTGAGCTCTTTCCAAGAAGAACTTTTTTAAGAGGCAGATCAATTAAAAGATGGTATAGATTCTCCATCACGATAAATCGGGCTAACTCGGTCCTTGTCTCTGCATATTCTAGTTTTCATTCACAGAAGAAATATAAATGCATCTTATGCAAGCTCCACAATCAAGTCTTTCCTCCTTTCAATCACTTCATATTTCCTGATTCCTCCCGGAACTCCAATTTCAGGGAACTATTGTACTTGTCTTTCAGCTCAGTCGTCCTATGATGATCAAGACTCATATGCAAAGCCATGCTTAAGATCCAGAAACAGCTCAAGATCCTTACAGCAGCCCGAACAGCAATGTGAAGACTCCTTTCAAGGATTCAAAACCAAGAGAGTGGAGGAGAAATTTCAGCCTGAAGCATCAGTTGCTACTAGTGATCTCTTCCATGGATTTCTCACTATTGGAACTCTTGGAGCTGAACCAGTCATCAGTGAGCCTGCAACACCTACATTTTCCATGTCCTTAGAAAACATAGCCGAAGGAAATACAACAGTGACAGAGAATGACTTGAAGCTCATAAATGATGAGCTGGAGAAGTTCCTTGAGGCTGAAGCTGAAGAAGAATGGTGTAATGAATCACCAGGAAGAAACAGTCAGGTTAGCATCATTACACTTAGCAGTAAGCAAATGGAGGGAGAAAATTCTGAAGATAATGAAAAGGTGTTATGTCCACTACAAGGATATTTATTCGGGTCTTTAATAGAACTTCCAGAAACACTTGAGTTAAAGAAGGAAAAGACATCACTTGCAGAGCTATTTCACAGGACAAAACTGTTAGATGAGTACTCCACAAAACAGTGCGGGAAAGGAGAGATTCAAGTCAACCCAATACATAAATCTTCCAAAAATCCCATCAGGAGGGTGCTGAAAAAGCTTCATGCTTCTTCAAAGGAGCTCTACCATTTCTAGCAAAATTGAATCTGTTCCAACAAAACGAAAGCTCCATAAAGTGAGTTTTCTGTTGCTAGATAAATGACAATCAAAACCAGCAACAGATTATCATTTTTTAGAAAAATATGGATTAAATTTTTATATTTTTACT